TATACTGCTGGACTTTGTTGTTGCTCTCATAGAATAAAGATTATGGGTAGGTTCTGCTTTTAAGTGAAGCAGCACAGAAATTCCAGCCCAGGTCAAGGTAGGACTGAAGTGGTTTTGAGAAAAGTTATAAGGTCTCAATCAGAAGTTGTTCAGCAGGCAACCCTCTCAGGCAGCACAGCTGCATTGCCGACATCTCTGCAATTCCAGCGCAAGCACTGTGGCCAGCTCCTGCTCTAGGATCTCAGGTGCTGGTTTCAGCTTTCTGGTGCATTCTGGCACAGTTAAGGGTCCAGTGCAAGTGGGAGGTGATTGCACTGCACTAGGAGCGAAGTGTCTGTTTCTGCCTTCTCAGTCTTGGCTTCAGCACTGCACAAAATTCCAATAGTTCTGTGTACTGCAGCTATATTTCTATACCAGCCCTATTTTTTTTTTTTTTTTTTGTCTACATAGTTGGATGAGACAGTTCTTTTAGGATGGTGTGCCAGTGGGTGGTATGTGTGCTGGAGGAATTCTTCCCTGGCTTGGGCACAAAGGTTTGGAATTCGGCTGACTTGACCCAGTAATTCCAGCCCTTTTCACCTTACAGTTTAGAATTTCCAGATGGCCTAAGTGACTTCAGAACCTCAGTGGCTAAAACTAGCTATCATTTGTGAAGAATTTAGGTTTCTAATGCTTGAACAAGGTGAGAGAGAGAGTTCAGGAAGCCAGAGGTTCATTTCCCTAACACTAGTGAATGTAATTATTTACAAACAGTAGTAGTGCCAGTGTTATCCATGTTCATGTATGCGCATATGGACATACTAAGCTACTCCTGACATTAAGCATTAAAATAGAAGTCCCAGCATGTAGAGTAAGTGTGCAGTAGTTTATTTACTCAGCTGTACAATCTGAGGTGAAATTAGCATTTGATTTTGTTACAGGCAGTGATATGCAAAAATAACTTATACCATGACACTTGACTTTAGCAAAATAACTTGGATATTTATTTAGCATTTCTGAAAGTTGAGGTTGGATATTTTATACATTAGAATGTAAACTTGGATTTTATGATTATTGTTTCAGATGGAAAAGGAACAACAACAAGACACAAAAAGTGTCCCTACCCCTTCTCCTTCACTGCCTCCCAAGATTACTCTGAGAAGAGACCAACCATTATCTTACACAGCAACAGAAGACACGTTTAAAGACACCGCCAGCCTTGTTAAAGAGGACTCTGTGGTATAACTAGGTAACTGATTTAGGGAAAATTAGACACATCCATTTGCACATATATTTTTTATAAACAGAAGAGTAAGGTTCACATTCAAATGCTTTATAAAAATACATATATCTCTTAGCCAATGGCTGGATATGTATGTTAAAACTATGCCTTGTTTTTTTTGACAAATGCCAATTTCTATTTTTATGAACAATTATCGTGATGTACTATATGTATATCTTTGCACTGGAGCTGTCTGAAAGTAATGTTATAAATATATTGTACATTTGTAAATTTTTGAAAGGTGATCTTGTTTGGTGATGTTGCTAGTAGAAATCTGTATGGAATTGGTTGTATCTTTAGGGATAAATTCATAATCTAAATGCTTAAAGTAAAAGAAAAAAAAAGAACCAAACAAGGCAACTATAGGCACATTACTGATTTACAGGATCTTTAGAGTGTATGTTTATAACAGCACCTTTTGAAACTTCTGCTGGTGCTTGGGGCATCTTTAACACCTATTTTATATACTACTCTATGTAAAAATGGATGTCTCTGTTTATCTTGTGTTAAACAAATGATGGAAGAGTCAATGTAGCATCATTTTGCTGAAGGTGCAAAATGTTGTTCTTCCAATATTTTAACTGTTGTAGACAAAATAATTTCCTGTCAATCCACAAAACACATACCTTTTCTCAAGGTTCCAATTAACACCGTTCCATTAATAGCTTTCCTAAAAAGATCTCATATATTTAGATTTTAGTGCCATGAGTACTTAATTTAATAAGGTTTTCTCTTGCTCATCAATGGAATAGCTCTGTTTTTGGCCTGAGTCTCTGGAAGTAATTTGGACTATTAAATGAAGTAGCTAGATTTCTGTAGCAGCTTATTTCCAAACAGCAAAATACGAAAGATATTGGTTCATTAAAGAAATTATTCAGGTGTTTTAATGTGAAAATTTAATTTTATTGACTATTTATTTCCTAAGATGAACATTAATAGAAAGGGAAACAATTTATACTAATAGCAGTCCTTGTAGTTATTTGGTTATTTCTGTACCCTTCCACCAGAATATACTGTATATCTTATTAGCTTTTCTATTAATCAGCCAAGGTAGTTTCCACAACATGAACCATGTGAGGAAACTTTGAGTACTGCTTCAGGAGCATGTTATTCAGCATTCCTGCCTAGCTACTCATATAGCTTAAAGATTCCTGAAGTTATAATCACTGAGTCTTCTGCTATTTGATTGTTTTATATCTGAGTTCTCAAAATATTTACTATTTCTAATTAGAATGTTTATAACTACTTTGTAATGTACTTTGATTAGAAAAGACAACTGGAAAATGATGCTGCTGAATAAATCTAATAAATGTATTCTTTTATCACATTCTTATTTCATAATTTGTGTCAAGGCTTTATGTACTTTTTTCAGTTGTGGAGACTTCAGAGCACTCTGAGATGAAAACAACAGTGCTTTAGGTAAAGTCAAATAAGAATAGTGCTTACTGCTTCACACAACTGTCTAAAGTTCTTGATATAACATCACTGACATCATATCACAGTAAAAACTGCCACATTTCACATATTAAATAAACTGGCCCTTGAAACAGGAAACTCTTATTATTGATTGTAGGAGACTGACTTTCAGTATGGTATGGACACAAGCAGTTGAAGCCTTAGTTCAATTAACTTGCACATCTAAGTGCTTTAAAAATTCCTTAGAATCAGAGACACAGCTTACACGTCTATAAGGCTATGAGAAAGGATGTCTTTGAAAGACAGGTTGCTGTTCTTAAGGAAAGAGTTCACAATGCTTTTTAAAGAGAGAAGACAGGGCTAACATTTCCACAAGTCTTGCCTCCAGTTGATACCATAAGAAAAATAGTATTGCTTTTGTGAATAATCTTTGTCAACAGAAAGATTTGGAATAATTTTTGGAGAAAACTGCTTATATGTCAGCCATATATCAGGGTTACCTTTTTTCCCCCCATAGCAATTTTAACTTTTCAGATGTGGAAGAAAACCATCCCTGGGATATGGTATAGATAGGTAGAATGTAGATTTATTGTTTAACATTCCTGATGATGAAGGATTCCTAAGCTTCAGCTGGGCCTCTTTCTCTCAGTATCAACCATAATGTACCCATCTGCTTATCTAATATCTATTTTTTGTATTTTGTTCAACAGAAGCTTTAGATTCTATTCCTAACTTCGTTTTCTACTTGTACTCTTTTTCTCTTACGAGGACTTGTCCCTGCTTGGATTCTTGAATTCTGGACTCATTCTGTTTCAAAGGCGGCTGATTTTTAGGGTTTTCAGCAAGTCTCATAATCTGCCACTGTATGGTTGATAAATTTAGACCATTAAGTTTTTTCATGTACATTCTCTTAACAGCTGTCAGACCAGATAGAGAGACCTGTTTCTCTTACAGGTATTTATCATGAAATAAAATAAATTTATTCTTGAAGCCATTTGGCAGAGAATAGAACCAATGAAATACTTACATGTTACTAAATACTTTTTCTATTCTGTCCCTTTCTTGTGCACCTACAAAACACCCCCTGCCCTGTCCCCTCTTACACACACATAGAGTGATGAAACTCCTTTTCTTACATTTGGAGTTCTGACCTGCACATGGTATTTTTGTAAGCTTAATTGAATTGCACATTAATGATTAATCACCAGTGCAGGTCTTCAGCAAATAAAACCTTTACCCCTTCAATTTTAATATCTCTAGGAACACCAGTTTGTGAGCCTCTGGCCAACAGCTTAACAGATAGAAATAGTGTACAAGAGGCACCGTAACCCCAACTAACATTTTGTTGTTCTTAACATAATCTTTGTACAGTTGAACTAATTTGCCATAGCATATGCTAATGATCCTGTTTCATCTAATGAGTGAAATAATCATACTAAATTGCAGAACAAATTGAGGATGAAAGAAATGTAAATGCATATTATTTTTAATATTTTCCTCATATAAGAAACTATTACTAGTGAGAAAGTTTAAATACAAGTTTGGATACTCTGCATATTAACAGAGTAATACGTAGTTTTGATTCTTCTCTGTAATTTCATATCTGTAAAATAACTTGCTTTATTTCTACACAGTTGAATAATCAGGTGATTAGATGTGGTCAAATACTGCATTTGTAATTTTTGGAATATGTTGCAATAGGTGGGCTTTATCATTTGTTTTCATGTCTTGTGTTCAGCAACTTGTGAAGTTTAGCAACTCCTGAATAGATCAACTGCCCATGAAATAAATGCCTAAATCTGACTAAATACATTCTGTAAGGTATATGTTAAAGATATATGTTCTGAAAGACGATTGTTTTATTTCAAGTTCACTAGCAGCCTGTATATGTTGATGAAGTCTACTTGAAAACCTGATTCTTTTAGTGAATTTATTTTCCTTATTTAAAAACTTGTTATAGGGTGAGTAATATTGACTAGCTTTGTAGCTGAATATTTTAGGAATGGAGATCCTACAGAGGTGTCACTTCTGAGCATAAAAAATGATCTTCAAAACCATGCTGGATTTACAAGCGTATCTGCAAACTCAGAAATTCCAGGTAAGGAGGGGTGAGAGGTGGAGAAAGTGTCTTCTGAAAAGAAAAGCAGTCTAGTAACTGATTAAGGAAAGGATGTCTGGTTCTGACAGGATTAACATTTATTTCTGCAGAGCTAATACTGGTTTAATGGTAAATGTTAATTAGAACTCCAGGAACTGATCTCCCACTAGCTGCTGGAGCTGGAAATATTGTACACAGCAGCATGTCAGATAAACAGCTTGGGGCTTAGGAGAGAAATAGCCAAAAGAACTTTGCATCCAGCTCTGTATTGTGTCCTGGGGTGCTTTGCTATCAGGACTTATGCCATGCATTTTTTGACCTGAGAAATATCAGTCACACAGTCTTTTTATTGGTGATCTTTGAGCTTTTATATCTGTGAAAAAGAAAATGAATGTGAAAGCATTTATATGCAGAATTCTCTGTGAGAGGATTCTTTATATTTAAAGGTTTGGCTACAGCTTCAAGTTTGCTTTTAAACTACTGGCTCGAGTACTGAGAGCAGTTCAGCTACAACAGAGCAGAGACCACAATGCCTGCAGAACACCCAAGAGCCCGGCAAACAGAAACCTCCCTGGACTGTATTGTGAGCCAGATATTCTCCACATTAAGTACAGCATGACTCAGCATGACTTTTCAGATATCAGTAAGCCATAAACAGCATATGGTCACCCCAGTTCATTCTACTTGGGCATTCTACCTTTAAGTGCGGAGGGACTAAGGATAGTGGCATGACATCACATCTCACCAATCTCATATGTGAACTAATAGCACAGGCCTTATCTAACATAGATATAGTCCAGGACAATCAGCAATGGGTTCTTAATGAATGTTAATGAAGTCTAGCAAACATTCACAGAATCACAGGTTGGTTGAGGTTGGAAGGGACCTCTGGTCCAATGCCCCCTGCTCAAGCTGGTTCACCTAGACCAGGTTGCCCAGGAGCATGTCCAGATGGCGGATACTCAGCTTCACTGGGCAACCCGTGCCAGTGCCCAGGCACCCTCACAGTAAAAATGTGATTCCTGATCTTCAGCAGTAACATCCTGTGTTTCAGTGTGCACCCATTGCCTTGGGTTCTGTCCCTGGGCACCACTGAAAGGGGCCTGGCCCTCTGTCTTTATAGCCTCTCTTCAGATATTTATGTAGTCCGATAATAACCGCTCTGGGCTTTCATACAGTCCTTTTGCTACTTACATTCAACAAAGTATTTTTCTCTGTAGGAGTTCCCGATCTCAGGAGTCAGTCCCTTCAAATGTTTTAAGAGGTATGTGTTGATGACATCTGAATTAACTATTCCTGCCTTAAAGACACCACGCTCAACAATGCATACTTTCACTCCAAAATGCTGCGTCTCTATCATAAAAGAAAAAAAAACAAAAAAACAAGCAAAACCAATGACCCTTCCTGACCCCTTAATAGCAGCATAGCCATTAAAGATAAGTAAGTTATAAGTTTGTCACATAGAAATTAATATTTGAGACTTGGATTATTCAAATGTCAGAATAATTTTGAGATGTTCAAGTTAGCTTTGTAGCAGTGTACCTGTCCTGTAAAACACAGCAGGCAATTAACTCAGAGGGAAAAAAAAAAACCAACAAAAAGCAGTGTCAGGTAGATTCACAGCTTTCTGTGTGTTTTATTTTGGACTTATGCAAAGGATGCAGCAGCCAGCTGCATCTTAGCTGTGATTTAGTTACCAAGCTAAAACAGTCTTTAAAAACCTGACTGAGGTGAATACTCTTGTCTGGGGTTTGCTTGAATGATCTACTCTGTACACTTGGCAAAATTTGCTGAAGGCCTTTTGCAATTACTCTAAAAGAGTATTGGTAAAGTATTAAACTATTTCACTTGAGATACAGGCCACTCTACTGGGCTTTATTATCCAGATCCATTCCAGTATGTGGGCTCCTACTATGCACTTATATTCCTGTGAAAATCAAATAGTCTGTATAAAAGCAGAGAGTCTGATTTTTGTTGGTTGGGGTCTAAAGGTCTGAACGTGATGTATGGAATTAGTCAATGCTTTTGAAGATATTAGCTTAACCCTGTGTATTGATAATACTGCTTTACTACGCTATAAATTACTTGAGAAACTTTAGATAAATAGTGACACTTTCAAGAGTTTGCTGAGGACAGCCTGCGCCTGAAAGGCAGAGGCTGAAAGTCCAGCACTGAGATTTCATAAAGAGTTTCTCAGGCTGAGGTGAGAGTGCCAGCAGTGGTTATCCCCACCGAGAGTGTGCAGCTTTCCACAAGCTGGAAGAAGGGACCTGCCAGAGGAGGTAAGTTTCTAATAATTATGTTGTCCTTGCCCTAATCACTGGATTTAATAAGTGTCCGGAACCCTCATGATGAGGCCAACAGTGTTTTACAAGCTTTGAGAAGAAAGTCCTACTGGTAGAAGATACGTGTTTTGTCGTTTTAGCTACTTAATTAATTATAAGCCTATTGAATATTTACTTAGCTGAGTGTTACTGATGGTAGTTGCAGTGCTGCAGTCCCTTTTGGCAGCCCTTAACAATGTCTAGTCTGACCTATCAGTGCTGAGAGGGGAACGTGTATTGCCATGGCTTAGTATATTTACCTTGCAGATTGTTTACCACCTTTTGTCAAAGCCAACACTTAATTCTTGTTTTTAACTCCACTCAAAGTAGAGACCCCAGGGACCAACTTCCTCTTCACAACTTCCGTTCACAGAGGTGTGTGATAGTACCTGTGTAGCAGCTCTAAGAAAACTGGCTGAAGTAGCAAGTGTTTAACTGTTACAGTCAGTGCAATTGTTGTTGCATGCACTGCAAAATTTGGACTAACTCAGCCATGAAAAAATACTCTTTTGTTTACTAGATAAAGACTGAAAAAAACCTGCCACCAGCCATTTTTAATTGTGTGGGCTGGATTTATTGTCAAGAAAGTTCTTTCTGGTACTAGTTAGCACCTTCCTCCCCCAGCTGATATTCTTCAACTGCACCAAAAAGAGTCTGATAAACACACCTGGGAATGATCTGGTTTTAACAGACTGAGAAACTAGATTTTTAAGAACCCTGTTGGTGAAAGCAAGGGGAAGCCCAAAAGATTGCTGGAGAGAATCTCTGAACTTGAGAAATGACAGAGTGAATGCTTTTCATCAGGGAGATGAAATATGCCTCTGTGGAGAGACACCAGAACTTTTAGCTAGACCAGATTTGGTTATATTGAATAATTTTGGGGGGGGGGGGGGGGGGGAAATTACCTTGCCACTTACCCTTGCCAGCTGTCTTTTTGGTCACAAACAGCACAGCCCTGGCAAAGCTGCTGGGGTCAGCTAAGTTCAGGTTCTCTGTCTTCAATGAGAATAAGGAGCAGGACTAGCTCTTGGCCTCCTTTTCCTGTGACACATGCAGCAATGACACAAAATCCCCTTTAGTCAGGCCATTTACCAGTAAGTTTCCAAGTCCACTGTCAATACCTGTCGTGAACACCATTCAGGTTTCTCACTCTGTGGCCGTCTCTAATGAGCCAGTACATGGTAAGGGAAAGTATGGAAGCCAGAATTGCTGTGTGCAGTGAGTCTGAGAGCTACAAGCAAGTAAGTTAATGATCTAGAAATGCAGTGAAGCAAATGTGCTCAGCCAACCCACCAACTTCCTCAGATGCAATTCCCATAAGGGCCTTTTTTTCTGATTGCTGCCCTTCCAGCTCACTGTAAGCTAGAAGAAAGCAGAGGTGGAAGATTTGGCACAATGTGATCGGTATCAATGAATAATGCGTGCCTTGGCAAAACCTTCCCTACTTTCCTCTCCAATAGATTTCCACTGTTTTCAAGCTTTGCTGACTAATCTTTCTAGTCAGCCCTGTCCTTTCAGGACATTTCAGACTGAAGGGAATGACTGCGTCAGTTCTCACAATAGCATCTGTTTTTTTTTGTAGACATTGGTGATTATTTGTGCTGATACTGGAGAGAGGAATTCCTCTGTGAAGAAAAATAATTCTTTTTGAATGCCTTTATGATGACACCAAGGCTGCTCTTCTAATCTGTAGCATGGAAGCAGAGTGACCCTATGAACAACCAGAAAAGCCTAAGCTGTAGTGGTGGGTTTGATGACTCATTTGTTGTGTGACTCATGTTGTGTGATGGTGAGTGATCTGCCCATTAGAGAAGATAGACTTTGAGGCAATGCCTGAGTCTTCTGTCTCTTCCCTCATTGCCTGTTTAGGTAGCGCGCTGGAATATATTATGTAGGGTAGTGTATTAGGCTTGGTTACTAAAGCCTGTCTGGTGTTCTTACTGTGTTCAGGGAGTGATTTGGATTTATTCTGATTCTAAATTTCGCTGTCACCTCACCAAGTAGGAATGGAAGGAATCTCAGAATCTGACAGTGAATGAATGTTGGACTCATTAAATGATTAAATCATTCACATAGCTGATAAATGATAACAAGTGACAATATTCATTGATACTTACTGGTCTTACCTAGTTGGGTGGTTCAGTAGCCATCAGTATGGACTTCTGAGCTACTGATTAATACTCTCTGATTTTAAAATGTTAAGCAAACATGTACAGATAACAGCTTGCTTCTCCTTCCACTACAATCTACAGGGAGGCTCCCACTGATTTTTCTGGGGGTTAGATTGGTCCCTGCACTGGTTATTTTAGCAGTCCACCTCACTGTTGTTTGAAGGCTGATGTAATTATCCCCTCTAGTTCAGGTACTTCAATTAGATACTTAGCTTTTTTTTTTTTTCAGTGAATGCCCCTGTTAAGTCTGACAAAGATTGCAGTGTTCCTGAATGTGTGCACTTTGGAATCATCTTTGTAATGTTTCACTGAGTTGGTGACATTTATTTTGTGAGAGGACTCACAGAGTGTTTTGACAAAGTGCCATTAAAACTGTGTGAAAGAGCTCAGGCTAATTCAGGCTTCCATGCTGTAAAATAAAGTCTGAAAACAGGATGTTGCAGCAGCCGATCATAAATACCCCCAGTCCATTTGCAGAGACATGCCAGGCATTGACATTTCCATTGGCTGCTGACTTAGAATTTGGAGCTGAGCTAGACACACAGAGACAGAAGTTGCGACCAGCAGGCATAACTCCGTGCCAATGAATCTCAGCAAGCTACTCGGCAAGCTAGTGCTGTGATACACCATTATGGGAGTCAATTCATCTTTTCCCAATACAAAATTAAATTAATTAATTAGAGATTTAGGGAAAAGATTAACCTAATTCAAAACAGGATCTGCAAATCACACCTGCCTTCCTTTGCTGTGCTGCAGGAGGAAGCACTGGGCAGTGAGCTTGCATTCCTGGAAAGCGGGTAAAATTAGAAGCTGGGCTCTGTGCATAAGTCCTGGAGTGTTTAGCCAGGATGCCTACTTGGGTCTGAAAGAGAAACACCCAGGACTGCTCTGCGTACTGTTAGTCCCTATGTTTAAGTAGCAATAATTAGCGCAGAAGTGCTGTAAGACAAGTGGCTCTAGGGGCAACAGCTGAAGCGGGCAGCACTGTGTGTGGAGCCTCCACTGCTCTTCTTTTCCCTATCAGCCCTGCACCAGTGCTCCTAGGCCTGTAATCCCTAACTGCCTAGCTCTCCCTGAGTACCAGTGCTCCTTCTCCGATAACACATGGACATTTGGTGCTGAGCACCCTGGTGAGTTTTGCTCTGCTGGAGCCTTCTGACAGTATTCATTCTGCTAAATGATGCCATTGCTGCTGGAAGGAGTCTGGGATCAGAATCAAAGGAAATAATCTCAGTTAAAGTTTTCTTCCAAGAAAATTGTCTAGTTCCACAAATGTACATTGTTATGCAAAATATTTCTAGCTTGATAATTGCGGGGCACTGAAAAAGCCACTTGTCTTCCAGGGTCATATTGATTTTGCAATAGCTGCCTGGAGTGGCAGAGTGTGCTTCCATTGAAAATGTCAGCATGATATTTCAAGAGTATTGATATATCTTCATAAATATTGAATTCTAATTATTAACGTAGCCAGTAAATAGCTAAAGGCAAATTATACTTCCCATAAAAACTTTGATATTTGCCTGGCAAATTGAGAACTCTCAGGATAGAGCTTAGCTTCTTACGCCTAGACAAGTGCCATTATAAAAGCAATTGATTTTAGAGAAAAGCAGCATGACTACACCAGAAAAGCAGCATGAGTGCGCTAAGAGCCCTTTTAGGATCCTTAGACAACTGCAAAATACAACATCCCTCTGTTTCTCTGCACTAAAAGAAACTGAAGCACATAGACTGTATTGAAGTGGGGTGCTATTGTTCTACTCCCACAGCAAGTTTGCTTTGGTAATTGTGCCAAAGAACATCAGCTTGGGGTGAAATTTGGGATCTGGGTATGCTTTGGATTCCTTCATCCACCCGTGTGCTGGCAGTGCAAACCTCCAGAAGTTAGTGCTCTGCAGTGGGTTAGAGCAGCCTGCCAG